TTATCCTCCTTCTTAAACCATTTTCCCATCAATATATTTAGAATAAAATAGATATCATGCATTCCATAAAAATAGCATGATCATATCACATATTCCATAAGGATATGTCAAACATTATCAAGTAAATAAATACTATCAAAATGTTTAAACAAGATAAGGTCAATATTTACCATCTATTCAAATTAACTATGGCCCTTTTAAAGCATACTTATCATATTACAAAATATGCCATGGCCGCTATATCCTTTTCAAGATTTGACCTCATGACTCAAATCAAAATTACTATAATCTTAAAGACCTTGATAACAAAGAATCCAAAGGGTGGGCTGTGCCACCCTTTTGTGGCACATGTGGGCCCCCACCCACATGCCACATGGTGGGCCCATGTGTACTTTGGGCCCCCATGGAATTTTATAAAAAAATTTAAAATAAAATGAATTAATATATATATTTGAATTTTTACAACTTTGTAAAATTTATAACTGTATTTTTATAAGTAAAAAAATCATAATTAAAATATAGAGTGATTTATAAAAATTCAAATAATAAAACTAAAATCATTTCAATTATAAAATGAACACAATTAAATTAATATGATGGGAAAAGGATCCATATGGTTTTAGGAATTTAATCTGTAAATATGGGGTACTCCACCTCCAACTGTGGAATACAGACCACACAAGCTTTATCAAACTGATCCAGTGTTTCCCATGACCCACAGTCCAAACAGGTCATTAGCGGGTCACCAAAGTTAGGTCGATGAATCAAGAGGTTGCAATCCCAGTCTTTGGATTATAGGTCCTCCCCTAAAGACGAGTCAAGGTCACCACGACATGATGCGACCACAGCTCTATAAGAATAAATTTCAAATTTATTCTTATTTGTATAGTAAAATGATGATAAAATCATAAAACACAAACCAATAATTCTAATTTCAATGTATAATATTGTATTTAATTAGGTTTTAATAAATGTTTGATGATAATCTTCATAAAGGAAAGAACATCTCAATATGCACATATTGATGCAAACAAAGAAGAAGAAGTTATTAATGTAGTACCCTCATTTCTTATTGGATTCCTATAAAATAATATTTAGAATGATTTTTAATAATTTTTTTGATTTTTTTTTAAAGATTGAATTTGATCGATTCTCAATTCGAAACATCGATTCACCCATCCAATGGGTTTTTGGGGTGCCGATCCTGGTGGCACCAATCAGGTGTTCAAACCACCAACTAAAATAACCTTTTCGGATGGATTGTTGAGGTGCAACCTTATATATACTATTTCATATATATATATATATATATATATATATATATTCAACAAATCTTCTGATCTAACCGCTAACCGTCAGGTTATATCGGAATTGGCTAGTTCCGATTTTTGGCAGTTCGGGTGATCAATCGGTATTTAAAAAAAAACATTCAAAACAATGTACATAAATTCTCAAAAATAAAAAATTTGATTTGTAATGTATTTTTAAATATTCTTTACATTATGGTAAAGATTAAAAATTGTTTTGATCATTAATAGTCATTTTTATATTTTTCCATCTTTTTTAGAAATTTTTAAAATAGCGATTGAAAAATATAAAATGGGTTAAAATCCATTTTTTGCATAATTTTCAAGTTTATTTGAATGTGATTTATTTTAATATTTTTCATATACATTTCATATTTTAGTAAATACTTTTTTTTTTGCGATCACTCGCTAGTTGCCCAGTTAAAAGGTTGAATCGGCCGGTTTCGTACTTCGGCCGGTTAAACGGCCGTCCTGGCATGTCTGGTTATTTTGCCAACACTGATATATATTCGAGAGAGAGAAGGGGTTGGAACCAAGGCGACAGAAATGGCAGGGGAGACAAAGGCGCAAGTGCCGCTGCATCCGGCTGTTGCCCCGCTGTCCTTCTTGCTGGGCACTTGGAAAGGCCAAGGAGAAGGCAGCTTTCCCACAATCTCTTCTTCTTTCCATTATGGGGAGGAGCTCACATTCTCGCATTCCGGTGGAAAGGTTCCTACCTCTTTCTCTCTGGTTTCATTTCTAAACAGAAAACAATCGGATGGATGACTTTTATCCTTCAATCTCCGGTACAATCGGTTTTTTGTGCTATGCAGATAACTAAGGACCACCACACACAAAAAAAAGACTGATATCTCCACGCCTATTCCAATTAACTTGTGCTGCCTGGATTTTTTTTGTTTTTTGGGGGGGTTGAATTTTGTGGTGAAGTCATGATAGAGGTAAATAATGACACGAAAATTATCTGCTATGATGTAACTGCCCAAAGAGATTTGTACTTGATGGCTCAATGTGCTATGGTGAGACAAGGCAGAAGGAATAATGGGTTGGGGAGCTTGGGCACCCACCTGAGGCAAGGTGCCACTTGATTTTATTGCGGTGAGTACTGTATAATGTGACGAAACTAACACTTGCTAATGATTCGTGACAAGGTGCAACTATGGAAGCGAAATTTTGTTGTATGCGACCTGCTCTGTTTTTCCTTGCATTTCACTCTAAAAATTGGTCATCACTTACACACCTCAAAGGGGAGATACCTAGTCAAAGTAAGTATTGGATTTAGTCCACCTTGTTTTATTGCAGTTATCTCTAGAACTTGATCCTCATAACCTTGTTTTGGCTGTTTTCACCAAAGTGACCTTTTATTGAGTTTTGTTGCCAACTGGGGAATTTTGTGGACGCCCAACTGCTGTTCCTAAACTGCATATGCCATCAAAGAAGCCTCAATAGAATTGGACTAGACTGTACCATTCAATTTCATGAGCATTCATTGTAGTGGAATCTGCTTTTTCTCTTTCTAGAAAAAAATTACAATAGGCTCTAGTATTTGTATCAAACGCTTTAACTCAATATGCGCAATGGGTGACAGATCAACTTGATGAATGGTAATTCCAAGGACAAATAAGATGCTAATCATTGTTTTAAAATGCGGCCGCATCATGCGGTATGCAGTGGGCACCGCATTTGCATAGACCGCATATGCGTCGCATTAGACCGCATCAGAGCTGCATCTGGCCGCATCAGAGCTGTATCTAGTCGCATCGTTTTTTGCAAAAAGAAAATTCAATTGTGCACCTCGAGGAGGGGCAAAATGGTCTTTTTGACCATCAAAAATTGGGGGAAACAGTTTGGGAGGGTAGTAAACCCCCCTAAACGATCATTTACAGCCCCTTTCATGGCCTTTTATGGGATCAAATCGAGCAAAAAAAAAAAATTAGGCGGAATTTCTTTTTCATTTAGATCTTGGATTTTGGGATTGTTTGATACTTGGATATTGATTAGAACCTTTTGATTGTTGATTTGGAGAAGTTTAGGTGAATTTGTGACAAGAAATCGGGGGTTTTAGAGGCCATGAAGAAATTTAGCATTAAAATTGGGGATAGTGGATATAGAATCTCCGACAGTTAATAATTTTGGAGTTAATCATTAAACTAAAATGCCTACTATCACATATATCACCTCCATATTTTTTTTATGCGTTAACCTATTTTTTTAGATGTTTTAGAATTTTTTTACATGTATTGATTGCATCGTCGCGATGCACCCGCATCTGGACCGCATTGAGCCTCATCAGCCCCCCCACCGCTTTTGGCTGCATCCTGCTGATGCTAATCACTCACCTAGAATTTCACTCATTGCTTGATCTTTCATTAGACAATGCTTCTCATCCTTAATTTACCTACTTCTTGGTAGTGACTCAAAGTTGTAGTTTCTTATCGCATTTGTGCTTCAGTTACTTGAATTGAACCATGAAGTTGCAATGCTCATATTGTGTTCACATCATGCCAAATAACTGTTTTGTCTTGACATTCTATACCACAATTAGAACATGTATGACTTATTGAGTCCTATTGTGTTCTGCATAAGCCTAACTTCTTTCTCAGAAACTTTTTGTGAACTTATAACTCGTAATTGTATTTCATGGGGCTGTGTATGTTCTCTTACTTTATTATTTCTTCCTGAAATTGTGCAGAATCGTACAACCATTGGGACATGCTTCTCTCTCAATTGCATCATACTTTCCTCTTAATTATTTTAATTGCTTACTTGGAAAAAGCCTTGAAGCCATGGAATCTTGTGCTTGAATCTTCATTCGTGTTATAATTATGATGTTTTATGTGTTTTCTATCGCAAAAATTTTGGTTATTGCATTAAATTTCTCTGTTTAATAGACTATTGAAATTCTTGAAGTGCAACCTGTTCTGAATTTCTAATCGATTTGCCTTCATTACCTTATATTGGTTTGGTGACAGATGTCATAGATTTGTTACAGGATTTAGGAATGTGACATTCTTAGTTCTGAATTTCTCTTGGCATTGTATGAAACATCATGTGCCAATTAGGGCACGTTTCTTTGGGGGAAGGTTTGTCTTTAGAAGACAAACCATCCTTGTTACTGTATCTCTTTTGCATTTGACACGCTATAGTGATATAGAAAAAAGAAACTTACGTCTTTTATATTTGTACGCAATCCTGTGAAGTTCGACTTCCGTGGTAAAACCATAGAAGTGAAACTTTTGGAAGGTTTTTCCTTTTTACGTTATAACAATGGTAAAAGCCCTTTGCCTTCTTTGTTTCCCTAACCTCTTCTCTCTACTCGCCAAGCCCAGCTCTCTCTCCTGCTCGCCCCTCTCAACCAAGTGCCTCCTCATCACCTCTCTCCCCTCTATGAAACCTCTGACCTCTCTCTCTCTCGCTCTCACTCCCCAGCTCTCTCATTATCTCTCTTTATGAAAATCCCTCTCCCCACAAATCTCTCTATCTGTCACTCTCTCTCCTACTCTCTCATGATCTCTCTCTCTCTTTATGCAAGCTCCTCACCCCCAGATCTCTCTCTATCTCTATCTCTCGCTCTTACTCTTTCTCTCTCTCTCTCTCTTTCTCTCTCTCCTCTCTCTGGAACCCCACATATGTGGGTAACTAGGAAACACAATAATTTATATAACCTATTTCGCCCCTTTCTATATCTAAACAACAAACCCACAATTTTGTATCTCCAGCCCATTTTTCCTTTGGCTTAGAGTACAAACATAATTAAAAAAAAGAACTCCTAGCCATTCCTCCCAATTCAATGGATTTTCTCTCCATCTTAGTCTCTTGTTTTCTCGCTTCCAAAGATAAATCTTCCTCGCTCAAGCCGTCACCCCTAACACTCAATCTAAGTTAGAAAGAGGAACAAGGAAAACCCAATAATTCCATTTTATGGCTATTCTCTCTGCTCTCTTCTTCTTATTACTCTTTCTCCTCTTTAGATGGTGTTTCATCTTTGTCTCCCTTATCTCTTGCTGTGGTCTTGCATGGCATAGCTGCTTCTTTGTTGAGGGGAACACGCCTGCAACTTTTGGCCACCCTGTTTGGTCCTTTCTTCATGATCTCAAGATGGACAATTGCATTTGAGACTTTATTTCAGTGTAATTGAATTGATGCTTTTGCTTATTTATGTGAATTAATTGGTGATCTATGCTTTACTCTGAGATTTTTTATGCAATTCAGATAATCAATTTGATGTGCGGGTTTTATTGTGTAGTTCAGTGCTCCAATTTGATGGCTATGTTATATGGTTTTCTTCTTCTCCAGAGTATCATTTTGATGGGCAAGATGGTTATCGGGCATTTTTCTCTATAATTAAATGTTCTAATTTGATGGATATGGTTTATTATGTTTTTTCTTTTCAAGCTCACTATGTTCGTGGGTCGGTGAAGCTCACACTGTTAACAATAAAAAACTAAAGAGACACTTTGTTAAATTAAATGAAGGTATTATGTGGATTGTTTATTGCAATTAGGGGTTGGTGTTTTATTGATGCAGAGAATTTTTTATTTATTTATTTTTTATTATTAGTTTTTTGAGTTTATCTTTTAACTCAAGAATAAGAGGTGCGCAGGGATAATTAGGTGGGCATGAGTTTATTTTGTGCGTGAATTGATATTGAGTTGGCTAGTTTAGGAATGTAAATAGGATAAGGTTAAATCTAAGGGAGTTTTATCTTTTCAACAATAGGCAGCTTTGGATAAAAAGGGGGTTTTTGGTACGTGAGGTTAAGAGAGAAAAAATAGGGATGACCGAGAAAATAGGTTAAGGGAGAAAAAATAGGGAGGAGAGATAAAATAGAAAAGACAATTGTTTATCTTCTTTTAGTCAATGTAAAGGGAGATCTCCCTTCAGTGAATGAGTAGAATAGAATTTGGTCTCGTGAAGATATTGTTTTTGGGGTGGATTCCCTCGCAGAGCTTTAAGAGGTTATATTCTCTCAACCTTTTCTTTTTTTTATTGTTATTATTCTCGTGTTATTTTCTCCCTGCATCAATTGGTATCAGAGGGAGGTTTTTTAGTATGCTCTGATACTAAATGATGCGGAGATTTATTATTATTATTATTAGTTTTTTTGAGTTTATCTTTTAACTCAAGAATAAGAGGTGCACAGGGATAATTAGGTGGGCATGAGTTTATTTTGTGCATGAATTGATATTGAGTTGGTTAGTTTAGGAATGTAAATAGGATAAGGTTAAATCTAACGGAGTTTTATCTTTTCAACAATAGGCAGCTTTGGATAAAATGGGGGTTTTTGGTACGTGAGGTTAAGAGAGAAAAAAATAGGGATGACCAAAAAAATAGGTTAAGGGAGAGAAAATAAGGAGGAGAGATAAAATAGGAAAGACAATTGTTTATCTTCTTGTAGCATATTTAAAGGGAGATTCCCTTCATTGTAAATCAGTGAATGAGTTGCATAGAATTTGGTCTCGTGAAGAGATTGTTTTTGGGGTGGATTCCCTCGCAGACCTTTGAGAGAGGGTATATTCTATCAACCTTTATTTTTTTATTGTTATTTTTTCTGGTTTTATTTTCTCCCTGCGCCAATTGGTATTAGAGCGAGTTAGATCTGAGCAAGTTAGATCTACAGAGAGCAAGTTAGATCCAGAGATATCCGGTTTGTTTTACAATGCCACCAAAAGTTAATCAAAGCTAATTCTGCTCTTATGGATGATCGTTGG